GGGGCCCGGACTCCCCGCCCCGGAAGCCGCCCGTGAAGGTCACTGCGCCAGGCCAGCTGCCATGCCCGGCATGCCAGGGCACTCAGGGCAGCCAGGCCCAGCAGGCAGGGCCCTCCCGCCGGTGTGCCCGTTTCCTTAGCGGCCGGGCGGGGCGCTGCGCCGTCAGCGGCCGGCTGCCCGGGCCCTGGGAAGCCCGGAGGGCCTCCAGTCCTCAAGAATGGCCAGGTCACACGCTGCTGCGGAGTCCCTGCGGTTTATTGGCCAGCAAGCCTCTGTACCCACAGCCGTGAATCGGGCCCCCAGCGTGCCTACGACCACCCCGGTCCTCGGCCTCGGCCGGAGGGAGCGTCCACACCTCCCGCGCGACCAGCGCACAAGCCACTCTGGGGGCCCGCGGGCCCACGGGGAGCAGGTCTCCGGACCTGGTCCTCAGGAAGGGGTGCGTGTCCAGGCACTGCTGCCAGCGGTCACTCCCACTGCAGGCGCTGTGTCTGCAGGGCTCGGTGGTAGGCCCAACTGCCCACTGCCAGGGCCCAGCGACAGAGGTCCTCCTTGGGCAGCGGCAGCAGTCTGTCCTCCTCCAGCCTGCTCAGGAGACCGGCAGCACCCAGCATGGCGCCCCCCCACATGCCATAAGTGTTGGTGGTGAAGACGGCCACAATGAGGATGGTCACTGCCACCACCAGCACCACCGCCTGGCCCGCCACAGAGCGGCCTTCTGCACCGAGGTGGTCCCCCGCCACGGCCAGCACCATGCCGCCTCCCAGGAGGAGGTTGGCAGAGGAGCGGTCTCCGTTCACCCAGTGGAAATCGAAGGCCAAAAGGGGCAGGCCGATGACAGTGGCCACCCAGGTTCCGGCGACACAATCTTCATCCGTGCCCAGCCCTGGGGCCAGCATGGTGGTGGCGGCCAAGGCCTGGAGCAGGAAGCCAGCAGCGGCCCCTCGACTGGCCTGTGGACAAGGGGTGGACAAGTGGGGAAGAGGAAGGCAGGGATGGGGCCTCCCGCCACCCTGGCCCGCGGCCACTCACCTGGGCAGTGCTGGCGGCGGCGCGCAGAGACACGGCTCCAAGCGCCAGATGGGACAGG